ACCTTTCCCTCACACACACACACACACACACACACACACACGCACGCAGTGTACGCTGCCATTGCCAGTGGGACCTTTTTAACCGACACGGGTCCTTACCCTACACAGTTTACAACTCTGTTTAAATGCAACCTATAATTTGATTGCTTTTCCCTTGGGGGAGCCGCTACAGGTCCACCTACTGATCTTTTCCGTTTTACCCAGATCCGATCGGCAAAAAAATACATCTCTGTGTGTAATGCCTCCCCACCCCCCACCCCCGACCCGGCGGCCGCCGGGTGCCTTCCCGCACGTCCCCAGGAAGAGGCAGCGTTTGTTCCAAGGCCCGAGGACGGTGAGGGTCGAGGCATCGCCTGGCCAGGGCCGGTCCAGGGGGGATTCTCTTTGGGCTGGCATTCCCCTGCCACTTCCTCCCACCCCAAAGCCTGGAAGCGAGGACTTCCCTCTCCCACCCACGCCGCCCTCGCCTCTGCCAGGGCCCAGCAGATGGGGAGGCCCTTTCCGGTCGAGGAGAGGAAGCAGCATCCTCGATTGTTCTGTGCAGGGCCCGTGGCTCAGGCCTGGGCTGCAGGAAGAGGCCCCGTGGTCACCGGGCCATTCCTCCTGGCCCCGTACCCAGACCCGCCGGAGCAGTGCAGGCTTCCCTGGGCGAGTGGCTCCCGGCCTTGCAGCTGCTGGCTCCTCATCGCATGAGGTCCTTGGGAAACAGCAGAGTGGACAGGGCGCCGGGCAGGTCTGCCCCGGCCCAGCTCCAGCCTCCCCCAACTCCCGCCCCCCCCCGCCCGCCCCCCCCCACCCCGCCAGCCTCAGCTCCGCCAGCGCGGCCCCGCCCTTCCCACCAGCAGCCCGGACCACGGTAACACTGTAACACAGCCGGCTGCAAGCTGGCTCTGCTGCGTGTTGCGTAATTAATAACGATTATCCGTCGTTACGATATTGGCAGCTGCCAGGGACCAAGGCTTCAGCTGCGCCAGGCCCTGGGCTGGGTTCTTGCGATGCCTCCCCTCGTTCCACCCCCACACAGCCGCTCGAGGGAAGCACCGTCCCCCCCCCCCACCTTCGTAGATGGGAGCAGGGAGGCTCGAGGCCCACGACCGCAGCCCCGGCGGGTGGCGGGGCTGGGACCCGCCCCCTGCTGCTCCCCTCCCCTCCCCCACAAGTGTGCCTTTCGGCAGAACCCCGGGCTAGAAGCGGACCGGGGCCTGGGCCCTGGCCGTGGGCCGCATTCCCCGGAGGGTTCCCGAGGAGGGCAAAGCAGGGACCATGGGAAGCATCTCCCACACAGGCAGGAAACTGTGACTTGTCACGCAGAAGACTGTGCCGGCTGACAGGTGGCACTTGAGGGATTGCGGAGGACGGGGGTGTGGAGGCAGGTGTCTCCGGCAGTCTTGGGGGGAGGGAGGGTTGGCTTTTAAAGCAATGTGGGTTGGACCCCAACCCTATAGGATCCCCCCAAGCTGGCGTGGAGACGCTCACCATTTTGCAGCGGCCGGTAAGATTCGTATTACATCGTCCCACGTTGGATGCTCCAAGCCCAGAATACCTTTCTAAATTCTCCCGGATTAGAGGTTAATCTCAAGCAGGGATAATGTTGGGGGTATTAGGGGTTTCAGCTAAGTATCCGGAATTAATATTTTGACCACGAGTCCACTTGGAAAGAGCGGAAGCCCTCACTCTGCGCCCCCCCCGCCCCCGCCCGGGCTGTGCCCGCCCCGGGCCACTAAAGCCCAGGGTGTGGGTTTTGTTCTAATGGTTCCGACTGTCTGGACCCGGTCCAGCGGTTCTCAGCCGGGGCGGCTTCACGCCCTCCCGGGGACACGCAGCAACGTCTGGGGACACTTTTGGTCGTCACGACAGGAGGTTGGGGGGCTCCCGGCATCGAGTGGGCAGGGACGAGGGGCACTGTCCCCCGTCCTACAATGCACAGGGCAGCCTCCGGCCTGGGCAAAGCGAGGGGACAGCCCTGGGCAGCTGGCGGTCTCCGGCCAGTCCCCCTGGCTCAGCGCCCCTCTCCCGCTGCCATGTCATGGGGACTAAAACAGGACACAGAGCAGTGGGGGTGAGGACGATGGGGAGGGTCCTTTACACCACCCTCATTGCCAGGCTCCTTCTAACCCGGCCCTTCTTGTTCCGGGGCGGGGGGGGGGGGGGCCCCGTTGGACACAGCGCTCTGCCCGCGACGGGAGGGGCCGCCTCGAGGAACCGAACGAGGAACTGCGCTGCGCGCTGATTCTGAATACGACTTTGTCGGTTAGTCCTAAGTCGAGCCGCTCCCAACACAGCATTTGAGCCTCAGGGTGGTCACCTACTCCTGTCCCCTCACCGGGTCCCCACAGCAGCCTCCGGGGAGTCCTCACAGGTGACAGAGCCGGAGTTCCGAGCCGCCCCAGCACCAGCACTGGTCGGTCATTCGGACCCCAGGGCCGGACCCCAGGAAGGACACCGACCCCCCCAGGGCGCCCCCAACCCTGCCCCTTTCACGGGGGCGGACCCCCCTGCCGACTGGGATCACGAGCCCAGGAGAACAGGACGCGGTCACAGAGGGTCCTGGCCGACAGAGGTGGCCCGCGAAGGGGAGGGAACCAAGGCGAGCAGGTCGAGAGCGTGAAAATGGGCCTCCGGCCCCTCGAAAACTCCAACTATTCATAACCTGCACTATTTCCAAGTTTCTTAAAGCTGGGGCGTGGCCCCAGGTGAAAGAGGAGAGTCTGGGCCGGGGGGAAATTCGGAACAAAAGGAATTTCTGTCTGTGGGTCTCGGGGTTCCGGCCCCAGGTCCTGGGGTTCCAGCCCCGGCTCCCGAACACTGCAGTCGCCATGGCCCCTCACCCCATCAGACAGCGATCACCACGGGAATGACCACGCTCCAGGCGGAAGCCGCCCGACTAGGTGTTTGGTCGTGGCCTCAGCCGGTGCCGACTGTTTGACAGATGTCACCTCCCATCACTCCCGCAGTAAGCCAGGGCACAAGCACTGGGATGCCCCAATTTGCAGAGGAGGAAACCAAGGGTCAGAGTGGCTCAGGTCACAGCCTGGACAGTGGTGGTGGTGGCAGGGCCTGGACTCCCGCCCAGCTCTGCTCCCCTGCCTCTGGGTGCGCCCCTGGGTGCACACTCTAACCAGGAACCGAGGCCGGGCACAGACAGACAGAGGTCGCCTCGGGTCGCCTGACGTGGGCCTGCCTCCGGCAAGCGTGCCTCAACCTACTCAGAGCTGCAGAGCGGAGTGAGAGGCCTGGAAGCCCAGACGCCCCGTGCGCAGGGGGGAAGGTGGAGGCTGGGAGCCAGGCCCGCCCCCTCCCCACCGCACAGCGCACCCCAGCTCATCAGAGGGCAGCAGTCCCTCCATTCTTGGCGCCGGTCTCCCCCACCCCTGGCGCTCACGTCTCCCCGAGTTCTGGAGGACCGCTGCCTACTGTGCCCCAGAGCCCCTGGGGGCGGGGACAGACTCAGCCCGAAGCCCCTGGCCAATGCCTTTGTGTCTTGCCAGTCGCCCCGGATGCCAAAGTCGGACGAGGCTCCGGGCCCAGGGTTTCCTAGGGCAGGCTCCCGCCAAACCCCCAGGGCTCGTGCTTCCCCTTCGGACCGGGAGGCCGGCCCCCGGCCCAGACTCAGGGACACTTCGGGAAGTCAGGGGCCTGGGCGTGGAAGTCAGCTGGGCAGAGGAGCCGCTGAGCGTCCAGGGAGGCCGCACGCGCTTCTCCCAGGGGGCGACCAGGGTCACACCCAGGTTTTGAGTGTCACCATGGTCCCCTGTGGCCCTTGTACCTTCAGCGTGGTTAAGTGGAGGAGCCATAAGATCGGGTGTCCCCCCACCTCCCCCCTCTAATTTCAGGTGGCCCAGGGTGATCCTCAGCCAGCGTGGACTTCCCGCTCCTGGAAACCTTTGCTCTGTTCTCTCCTTGCACACCCAGGACACTGCTCAGAGTGCACGCCCAGAGAGATGATGGGAGAGGGTCCCCGGCCAGCTCTCGAAGACACGGCCTGGCATCTGGTAGCAGCGACTGCCGCCACCCTGGCCTAGGGGGGGCCCTGCGAGTTCATCTCCCACTGCTCTGTCCACGCCAGGGGTGACCATCTCCAGGGTCAGAAAACGTGTCCGGAAAGACCCAGGTCCCAGGGTCCCGCACGGAGATTTACATTATCCCGGGAACGTTCTGGAGACCAGGCCGCAGAGAAGAACCCAGGGGGCTCCTCTCGGTTGCGCAGGCCGCGCTGGAGCCTCCTGGACAGTGAAACAAGGTCTTCCTAAGTGGCCTCCCGCCTCGGAGAGAAAAACCACCGCACCACGGAGCACACCGGGCTTCCAAACCCGGCTCTCCTCTCAGACAAAACACCGCTGGCCTGCTGGCCACAGCAAAGCGCTCCCGGCCCGGGGGCACATCTGGAGCCCCAGAGCACTGCACAGAGAACTCCCAGGGTTCAGGGCCCCGGTACTTCCCCGAGTCTCCGCCACGTGGGCTCGCACAGGCCTGAACCCGGGGGGTGGGGGTGGGGGCAGGGAGGTGGCGGGCCTCGGCCTCTCGGGTCACCCAGCTCGTTTGTTTTGCCGAAGAGGCACCTGGTGGAATAGTCTCTGCTTGCTTGCTTTGTTTTTAAATTGAGTTGAGAGAGAGAGAGAGAGAAACAGAAACTTCGATTTGTTGTTCCACTCATTCATGCATTCACTGGGTGGTTCTTGTACGCACCCCGACCCAAGGATTGAACCGCAACCTTGGCACACGGCTGGGGGCGATGCCCTCACCAACTGAGCCACCCGGCCGGGGCTCCCCTGCTCCCTCAGCATCTTGCAGGGCAGGACGCCGGAGCCTCGGGGACAGTCGTAAGGAGGTCCCAGAGCCACCATCCCACTCTGAATCAACAGACAGGCCCTCTAAGAGGACTTCCGTCCATGCCTAAAGTCCCCCCCGCCCCGGCCCCATGAGGCCCTGACCCCCACCGCAGGCCTCCAAGCGCCCCACCCCGAGCAGCCCCACAGAGCTGGCTCCCGAGCCGTACTCACATGCCCTGCTCCCCATACTGGTTGTAGAACTCCATGTGGCTGCACGCCTGGATCCAGCCCACTACCCAGGTCTCCTTCCTGGGGATGGGCGGCATGACCACCTGGGCCGAGGCACGGAAGTGGGGTGTCCGGTAGCGGAGCACCACGCTGGAGGACTCATCGATGCTGGTGGGGACGGGGTCGATGGAGGCTTTCACGTCGATCACCGTGATGCCTTCCCGGAAGACCCTGGCTTTGCCCCCGATGCTCTGGATACAGCCCATGGCCCGCAGCACCGCTCTGATGTCCAGGGAAGGCCAGCAGTCCCAGAGAAAACCGGGCATTGAAAGGGTGGAGGCTGCCGGGCCTACGGCAGACAGCGCTGATCTCCGATTTCAAATCTCAAGACCGATATCCATAGGATAGAACATTCACTGGGTAGGGGGCATTTGCATATCACTGCCTCTGGCCTTGTTTACAAATAAGGATTTTGCTGCATTTCAAGGGCCCCGGGTTCTCTCTTCTTCGGCTAGCAGTGGACAAAAATCACCGATATTCTTTGGGTTAAAAAAAGAAAAGTTTGGATGTTAATGGATAATCATGTTGTTCAGACATCCAGCCCTTCCGCGCCGCACACGCGGGGAACGCGGCTCACAGACGCTCCCTGAAGTCTTCGGGGAAGCAGGCGAATGCCGGCAGACACATAAATAAGGAAGGCTCTGTCCCCGGCGCAGCGCCGCCACCCTCGCTGCAGAAGACCGACTTCCTGCCCTCCTGCCTTCCGCACGCGCTCGGGACACACACACCGACCTCTCGCGCAACGGGGCCGAATCAATGGAAGGGCAGTTTCTGTTCAGTCGGCAGAGGTCCCGGCTCCCTCGAGGGCGAGCGCCGACCCGCGGCTTCCTGGAGGCGAGCGCCAGGCTCCGGCCGCTCGCGAGGTCCCCGAGGAGCGCGGCGCAGCGCGGGTCCGGGTCGGTGCCCACTGGCGGGCGCAGGCCGACGCCCCAACGCCGGCGCACCGCTTCCCCTTGCCGCTGACTCTGTCGCCGCCCGCCGTCCGGGGCTGCAGGGTTGCGCCGGAGCCGCCGCCTAGCTCGCCACCGCCGAGGACCTGGTAGGAGGTGGAAGGGACAGGGCGTCAAGGCCCGCCTCAAAGTTGAGCCTAACTTTGCCGAGGGGGACGCGCGGGGCGGCGACGCGTGTGCGCGGGGCGCGGGCTGCGGAGCTGACAGCGCAGCTCTGGGCGGTCTCCCCGGAGGCGGCGCCCCCCCCCGCCCCGCCCGCCCCGTCAGTGGCAGCCGCACGACCGCGCGCACCAGCGAATAATCGCCGCCCGTGACATCTCCGCTGACACCCTCCCGTCCCGAGGGTGGGGTGGGGGGGCGATAGGCTGGCACTGCAGTGGGCCGCGTGGACTTGCCGGCCCTGGCACTACGCCCGCCGCCTCGCCGCCAGCTCTCCTTCCCCAGCCTGGGTCCCTCCGGCCCCCTAGGGACGCAGTGTCACCCCTGCAGGACAGTCTGATCGGGCGCGCGCCCCCTTCTCGGGCCGGGATCCCTCGACCCTCGGAGGGCTCAGTGCCCTAGTCCCACCGCACCGACCGCCTCTGTCCCCCACTGGTCAGCCGCGATCGGCCTTGAGTCCCCGCGCGTCCGGCGCGCTCGCCGCCGCGGGGCAACTTTGGCGCGCACGCCCCCACCCGGGCGGTGTCGGCCACTCACCTGCCCCTCGGGCCAATCCGCGTGCCCCGGCCGCCGCCCTCCGGCCGCCTCTGACCCTGCTGCGGGCACCCCCACCCCCTCCCCCGGGGCAGTGTCCTTTGGCTCTACTAGGGTCTGGGGCCGGCGGGGGCGCCCTCGGCCCCCACGTTCTCCTAGCTCAGGGCTGCTGGGGGGGGATGGCCGGGGGCGGAGAGCTGAGGCTGGGGCTCTCTCGCCCCCACCCCGCGCACCTCCTTTATTTTATGATCATTTTGAGCGTGCTGTCGCCGCTCAGCCCCGCCGCCGCGCCGCAGCCGCCTGGCGCGCCCGGCGCTGCCTCGCTCTGCAGCAGCATCGGAAAGGCAACCAGGTCAAACTTTGCAGAAACTCAGCCCCTGCGCCGGCCTGGCCCCGCGTCCGCCCGCAGCCGCTGGCCGGCGCGCAGCGCAGCGCACGCAGGCACCGCCGCCCGCGCTCGCCGGCCCCGCGGGGATGCAGTCCGCTGGCGGCAGCGGCGGGCGCCGCCTCCTCCTCGCCGCCCGCCCTGCTCTACACCCTCGCTCCCCGCACCGCCCGCCCTCCCCCCCGGTAATCCTCTCCCCCTCGCCCCCCTCGCTCTCCCTCTCTCTGCAGCTGCTGGGAGAGCTGAGCCTCTCCTCGCAGAAACGACATTTCCTTTCTGGCTAGCCCGGGGAATTCTGGGTAATGTAGTTCGACTTGTGCCTTGGGTCCAGGTGGGCTGCTCCCTATGCCCTTTGAACTCCCAGGCTTTCTGGGGCTCAGGGCCCGCGGGGAAGAGCCGGGCTGCCCCGCTGTTCCAGGTCCCGCCAGGGCCGTGCCTGGTTGGAGATGGTGCCAGGATTCTGGCAGGCTCCGGGGTTGGGAAGGTGGGGGTAGATGAGTTTGGGGAGAGGGTCCCTGCGTTGCTCCCTCTGGGCTGGGCCACTGGGCACCCTGGCAGGTGGTCAGGCCTGTTGGGCCCCAGCTGTACAGCTTCCTTTCCGCCACCATCAGCCACCCTGGGCAGGAGGCCTATGTTGTGCGTTCCCGGAGCAGGAATCCAAAGCTGGGAGACTTGCCCAAGGTCCCACCTGGCATGCGTCCCGGCTGCCTGGGACCTGGTGGTCTGAGTGCAGGGTTTAGAAGGGGGTTGAACATGGACATGGTGGGGGGAGAGCATAGCTGTGAACCACCCTAAGCACCCTTGAGCCATACCCTCACCCTCACCTGGGAAAGTCCAGGCAGTTTGTGACATCGGAAGACCTTGCAGCCACCTTGGAGCCAGGTCCTGCCCCCACCACTCTCACTTCCCAAGGCTCCCGCAGCCAGGCCCCGGGCAGATGGTTCTGGCCATTCCCAGGGTGTGCCATGGCGGGGAGGCGGGAACCAGAGGAGTAGGGACTCCAGCCACGCTGAGGTTTCTTCTCCGACGCAGGATCAGCCAGGCTGAGCGGCCCATCAAACGCCAGCCCAGCTCAGGCTGCAGGAAGTGTCTCATGGTACCCGCCACACCCCCGCCTGCACCCTGCTCACAGCCACGGCCCTCGCCCGGCCTGGGGACGGGCTTTCCCTGCCCAGCTCGGTTAGTTGGTAGCTTATTCCTGGGCCTGCTGACCGAGGCCGGGGCAGGGTGTCTCTCACCATCTGCTGACTGCCAGACGGCAGAACTCCAGACGGCATGCGTCTCCTAAGGACCCATGTAAATCCCCACTTCGGGGAAGATGCTTTCTGCCTCTGCCAGGCACTCACGGCCGCCCTACAGCCGCCTGCTCCTCCCTCCCTTGCCATCAGACACGTAGTGTGCTGTTCAGTTTCTGTACAGGTGAGGCATTAAGTGTTGGGGTGTCTGTCTCATCCCCCAACACCATTAGCCCCTGGAACAAAGCAGACTCATTAGCCAGGGTGCCCCCCTGATGGCGGGGACACTGCCCTGGTGACGAGGACACGAGTGCTCCATGAACATGTGCTGAGCCGCACGTCTCTCTCATTTGACATAAAGGGACAGAGGCCAGGGCCCAGACCCGCTTGCTCAGTGGCTGAGCCCCTGCAGATTATTTGCCAGGGACAGGTCCCCTGGGTGCCCACGGCAAAGGGTGTTGCTCCCTGCGGGCCTGGGCTTGGCCTGGGTTTGTGAGGTCCCCACTGTGTGTTAGGTGCTGCCTGAGCAAGCACGGTCTCCTTTATCCTTCACCTTGACCCCAGGAGGTGGGCTGTACAGACAGAGAGACCCAGGGGTCAGGGGACAGTGGCCTTTTCAGGTCTGGATCCCTGTCCAGATCTGGCCAAGCCCAGAGCCCAGTCGCCTCCTCCTCCTCCTCCCCCAGATGCGCCGCCCCAGCCCCTCCGAGAGAGCGAGGAAGGAGCCGATGCTGCAAAGCCCTGTCTCAGCAAGTTGCACCAGAAGAGGGTGAGGGCTCTCGCAAAACTGAGGGCCCCTGTCCCTAAGCTTGGCCCCAGAACCGCCTACCCATTCCATGATGCTTTCTTTGTCCTGGGCTAGTGGGAGGGTGGGCTCTGCAGGGAAACGGCCCAGGCTGCACCCGGGGATCGGCTTCCCCAGAGCCAGCCTCGACACACAGGGGGCCCGAACGGTCTCAGCTCGTTCGCACGGGCATCCCCTGGCCTGCCGGTCCGCCAAGGCTCTGGCCGCCTCTTCCTGCTCGGGGCTTCCCGGAGCCCTGTGGGCGCTGGGCACAGGCCCGCGGCGGTCTCGGCCATGTGGGAGGCTCAGGATGCATCCACGTGAGCGTGAAGCGCTGGCGTCTGCAGGGCAGAGGAAGGGGGCCTCTGTTGGAGAGGTGCCCAACACCACAGGGACCCTCACAGCTTCCCCTGGACCCCTCCCCTCCCTCCGACCACAGTCTCCCCGGACCCTCTGCCATGACAGCACCAGTGAATGGGACGGAGTGGGGGTCGGGATGCACAGCCCCGATCCCTACCCAGACTTCCTGGTGGACTCCTGAGTGTGGCAGCTTGGGAGGTCAGAGTGAGGTCCACGGGAGGACACGGTCCCTCACCCACTGGCACTTTCCTCAGTGCTGACCGGCCCCTGCTCTGTGCCAGGGGCTCAGAAGACACTGGGAACACGGCCAGGGCCAGGACAGGCAACAGGCGTGGTCCCCACGGCACTCGCATCCTCGTGGCCAAAGAGACATCGGGGAATGACTCCAGGAATGATGAATAGAGGCATTAATTACCATGAATAATAAATAGGTGCAATTTCATACTCAAACGGCTATAAGTATCGATCCAGGCACACGGGGACGGGTGTGAGTCAGCCGTCCTGATGTGCGGGTGCGTTAAGCTCAGGAAAGGAGGGTACCGAACGCATGTTCCTGGGGCTTTGGGGGGTGCAAATGAGCGTGTCAGAGGAGGTTAGAGTGAACAAGGGTGTGAGTGTGAGGGACAGTGTGAGGCTGTGTCTCTGTGTGTGAGGGCACGTGTGGCAGTGGTGTGTAATGTGTGTGGAGTGTGTCCAGGTAAGTGCGTGTGCCCACAAGTGTGTGTCTGCCTGTCTATGGGTGTGTCCACGTGGGTGTGAGGTGTGCAGGGCTGCAGGGGAGATGACTGAGTGGGTGTATATCGTGCGTGGCAGTGTGTGCATTGTGTGAGGGTCTGGATGAGTGCATGTAAGTGCAGAGTGTATGTTTGAGTGTGTTCTGGCTCTGTGAGGGCTTCTGTGAGCTGTGGGTCTGAGTGTGCATGCCGACGTGTGTGCACGTGTGTCTGAGGGTGCACATGCATGAGCGTGTCTGGATAAGGGTGAGTGTGTGTCCATGCCGATGTGTGGCTGTGTGTGTGATGTAGGCGAACCCGTTTGTGGGTGTGAGTAGATGCGATGCACCAGCGCGTGCGCGTGACAGTGCGCATGTCTGCGCCTGCGCAAGTAGGTGTGTTGCGTTATTTTCAGACTGGGTTGCTTTAAGGTGTCTGGCGGAGGGAGAGACCCGAGGCCAAATCAGGTCGGTAAGAGCCAATGAGGGGTGGCTCGTCCCAGCCTGGTTCACAGGACGATCCCTACCTGGGCACCCTCCGGGGGCCGCAGGACCCTCTGCTGCTAGGCCCGGCGGCCCCATCACAGCCCCCAGAACCAGAGTTCCGAGAAGCTCCCTCCCCTCCGACGGCCCTCCGCGCTGAGGAGGACGGGAGGCCCGCGGGGCCCCCAAGGTCAGGCAGCCCTAGCTGGGGCGTGCACGGCTGGGCCCGCTCGCCTGGCCACCTCTCGTGGCCCCGCCCCGTGTCCCCTGTGCTCCCCCCAAACCCAGCATCGTGGGGTGAGGATCGGCGCAAAGGCGACGCGGGAGGACGCCCCGCGCGCTCGCCACCCCCACCGCCTCCACCGCCTCCACCGCCTCCACCGCCTCCACCGCCTCCACCGCCTCCACCGCCTCCCCGCCGCACGTCCGCAGGGTGGGTGCGGCCGGCCCGGATCGGGCGCGGCACTGGGAGTTCTCCAAGGTGCTAAAATAAACCCAGCGAAGGATCAGGTTTCCCGACCGAAATAACCCAAGAGCCGCCTTAGAAATTCAAACTGAGAAAGCGATCCGGGCGGGCCTCCTGGGGTGGGGAGGCGGTGATGAAAAATGCTTTGCACAGGACTCCCGCCCCGTCCTGGCAGGAGACCCTGCACCGTCCCTCCCTCCGGCGCCCTCCAGCTGTGCCTCCCCCAGGGCCCGCTGCCCGGAGCCGAGCACCTCGCTGGCTGCCCTCCCCTTCCGTTCTGGGGTCATTGCCCCCAATTAACCAGCCTCCTCTTGGCCATGGGCCCCTGATGCCAAGGTCTGCAGTCGATAGGAGCCCAGACTCCAGATCAGATAGCCATTAATCCAGTAAATGTTCCTTGAGCACCTACTGTGTGCCAGGCACTGCCTGGGCTCTTAAGTGAACAGAGAGACAACGGTCCCTGCCCACTGGCTGACACTCTGCTAGGAAGACACAGGTCACGGACACAGCGAGTAACTGAGCGTCGAGTTAGAAGAGATACAGGCCAAGGAAGAGAGCAGACAGGGTAAGGGATGTTGGGGTGATGTTTGAGCCCCCGGGTACCCCGTTGGCTCACTCAGCTGCCCAGAGAGAATCCCTTTGCCTTTGAGCTTCAGCATCGGAATTTGTGCAGTGGGGACTTAAAGCCCACCTGGGACGCTGCTGTGACAGTTAAGGGACTGGCACAGAGCACGAGTTAAGCGCGAGTGAGGGTGTCATTCGGTCAGTGTGCCCAGGAGCACTGGGACGTCTTCCCTGTGCATTTAAGACGACAAGGCGCAGTGCCCGTGACGTGCTAACTGCCCCGGGTCCCACGAAGCTGTCGGGAAACGCCCCCTGCTCTCGGTGGCGGGGGGTGGGGGCAGCGCACCCGGTGCGTGGGGACAAGGGCTTCGGGCTGAGACCGGAGGCCGGCTCCGGCCCTGCCTCCTGCCCGGCGCGTCTCCTCACGCCGCGCTGCGCCCCTCTCTGGCGGTGGACTGTGCTGGGACAGGAAGGCTCCGTGGGCCAGGGCCCAGGCGGAGCCGCGGTTCGCGGGGACAGGTGGTCTGCAGGCACAGCGCCACCTCAGTCATCTTCGCTTGTCGCTGGTCCTTGCGTGGGGCTGGCGTGCAGCTAGCCTCAAAGGTGTTCCATGAGTGAGTGGGTGAGTGACGAGTGACAAGCAGGCAGGGCACGGAGAGGCTGTGGGGCACGTGGCCGGGAAGACAGCCCGCAGGCCCAGAGTTCCGGGGCCGGCCAGCCCACGTCCCAGCTCCGGCCCTCTCCAGCTGCGTGGCCGCCGCTCTCCGTCACCTCTAACGTGGACAAGCTGGGCTGGCTCTGTCGTCCGGACGCGCCCGCCATCCCGCCGCGTTCTCCCAGGTCTGGGCACCGCAGCGGGAGGCGCAGGCTGTCCCTCCGACCCCACGGCGACGCGCCCGAGCACGCTGTCCCATTGGGCACTGGCCGTGTGAGCCACTCATGCACACTCGCGCCAGCACGCAGGGACCTGTGCGAACCAGGCGGCCGCGCCAGGACCGCTCCAACGGTCACGAAGCGGAAACAGCCTGCGTGTCCCACAGTGGAGGGTTGCTCACGTGCTCTGGGGTCCGTCCGCGGGACACACAGCCATTGAAAAATGACAGGTTGTCATGGAAACAGGGCCAGGGTTGTATTTGTTAAGTGAAAATGGTAGGTTATTTTTTTAAAAGGCATGTAATACAATCATATTTTAAAATGCACATCTGTATATATGATATAGATATTGATAGACACAGTTTTTTTTAAGTTTATTTATTTACTTTTAGAGAGGGGGAAGTGAGGGGGAGAAAGAGGGAGAGACACATCGATGGACTGACTGCCCATCCCACACCCCCCACCGGGGGCCTGGCCCACAACCCAGGCACGTGCCCTGACTGGGAATTGAACAGGCGACCTTTCGGTGTGCGGGATGACACTGAACCCGCTGAGCCACACTGGTCAGGGCTAGATATAGTTTTTAATGTATCATTTCCGGTTATTAAAGTAATACTTGGTGGTTGTACAGTGTTTCAGGAATTGGAAATGAGACCAGTGAGAACCCTTTATCACCTGACCCCCTGGTACCCTCAGAGTCTGCGGGCAGTAGCTTACACTCGTGTTACCTGTATCTATTGAATTTATCGCAGCAAGCCTGCGACGTTTTGATCATAAGAAACCATTAGGCAATTGGTAAAATTATACCGTTTTACACTCTGGCTGGTTATTCTGGGGGTGTGCAGCCTGTCTTCCCCGCTGGATGGCAGGGAAGAGCTCAACGAAAGTATCGATCCAATGAATGAACGAATCCCAGCCCCCCGAGAAGTGGGGGCGTGCGGCTTGTTGCCGGTGTTCACACGGGGGTGGCACCTGCTTCTCAGCTGCCTGAGAGTGGGAACAGGGTCACCCCACCTTGCAGAGGGACAAGCGGGTCTCGGTGCAAGCAAGCCCTTCACACCACCCCGTCACCTGCCCCCCAGGGCAGGACAACGGGGCCAGGAGGACTAGGCGGACTGGCCTGCAGTCACCGAGCCAGAGGTCGCCGAGCCAGGCGTTGAACCCTGGGCCGCCCCACTCCGGGGCCGGCTCTGAGCCTCTCTCTCGGGCTCTGCCCAGCATGGAGCCCTCGGAGCCTGCCGGTAGCTCCGGCCCGACCAAGATGCTGACATAAGCCTCGGGGTATTAATAGCCTCCCCTGGGGCCGGGCTCCTCTGCCTGTTCTGAGGTCGGCCCAGGTCACGGGCGCCACCTGGGGTGGGGGAGTGCCTGGTGGGGAGCAGAGCAGGCACGTCCAGGTTCCTGTGGTCTGAGGCCCTTGTGTCCCACCCCAGGGGCCTCTTGGGAGTCAGACCGCCCCTCTCCTGGGCTTTCTAGCTGGAGGCCTCCAGCCTTTGAGCCTCAGCATCCTCATCTGTGCAATGGGGCTGCTATCCCAACTTCACAGGAAGGCCGGTTGCATGGCCCATGAGCTAAGGCAGGTGGCGAGCTCAGACACTGCTCCTGACCCACGTACCCTGAGCATGTGTTCTCAAGCATCTGTCCAGGGTCCAGGATGGGGCAGCGCACATCACCCTGCTGCACCCTGGGGGTTGGGGGGGCTGTGACACAGTCAGGGCACCCCCCTCTGGGGCCGAGTCTCAGTGGAACTTGCTGGAAAAGGAGCACCAAGGAGTCTGCAAGGAACTCCAGCCTTGCAGGTTCCTGGAGGCTGGCTCTGTGCCACCAGGTACGGGGTGGGAGCGGGACCTTGGGGCTGGGCCCTTCCAAAGGGGGACCTCAGAGGGGACGGAAGCTGTGCCTCCTTGGTTAAACGAGGTCCGCTCCCAGCCCACGGTGCTGAAGGCTGGCGACACGGCGGAGAGGCCCTGCTCAGCAGTTCACCAATATCACCTCGCCGACCCCACGACAGGCCTTGGCAGGTGCCTGCTGTCGCCCCCACGTCCCAGGTGGGGCAGGTGCATGCTGTCGATCCTGTGTTCCAGGTGGGGCAGCGGGGGCCCAGGGGGCCCAGTGACTGGCTCAAGGCCTCGCAGCTGGCTGGTGGCCAGCGGGCAGGTCACCCCTCACCCACCTGCCTCTGGAGCTCCTGGGCTGGCTCCCTGTGGCCACAGTGCACCCCCCATGAGGCAGCCTCCTGGCCTTGGGGTGCTCTGCACCCGGTCCCTGGGAGGCTGCGGGACGGGCGGGCTTCACACAGGCAGCACGGCAGGGGTGGTAGTCACCGGTTCCCGCCTCCATCCCAGCTGAGCGGATAGGCCTTGGCTGCCGTGAATAGTGAGACCGCAGCGTCCACTCCTGACCCTTCTGGTCACCCTCAAACAGTGGCTTCCCCCCCAGCCCAGGCCTAGTCTGTGCCAGCAGGGCTGCAGAGGCTACGGATTCCTGCAGTCGCCTCAGGGCAGGGGGTGCGGGGAGGCCTGACTCCTCCTCCACCGGGCCCCTCGGCCTGCCCTCTCTGGGTTTGCAGCCCCTCTTGCCCCCTTGGCTCTGTGGGCCCCCGAAGCCTCACCTGGGATAGGCTCTCCCTTGCCCGGGGCCTCCACCTGCCCTTCCTCCCCGGCGGCCCTCCACAGCACCAGGCCAGCCCCACAGCCGGTTCTGTCCCCTCTCCAGGTAGTGTGCACCCGTGCAATGACGTCCGAGCCATGAGCTCCCCGGGGACGGGGACGGGGTCTTTCCTCCGCTGCCACGTGCCAGGGGCCTGGTAACCATCCCCAGGCTGCCTGGCGCTGTGCCAGTGCCCCATCCTTCACGAAAGGGAGGCTGCCTCCAAGGGGCAGAGCCGCTGCCAACCCGTGGGTGTGCACGTCCTTCTAATGGAAAGCAATCTTACCGATTGCCATTTCATTGGGCTGCGATGCGCTGAAGCCCGATTCAAGACTGATTAAAAGAAAAAAAGGCCAGCCTGCCAGCTTAATGAAATGCTCTCCCAGAGGGGAGGGGCGGGGCCTGGTCCCAGCAGACCCAAAGGGATGCTTTCAGTGACATCATCCACCCCATCTGGTGGATGCCCGGAGAGGCCTTCAGCCCGGGCTCCGAGGCCCAGTCCGTGGGACCAGGTCCCAGCCGCCCGGGGCCCGCAGCACGGGCCCCAGGGCAGGCCTGGCTTGCAGGGGCCTGGTCTGCTCAGAGGGAAGCTGGTACACGCAGGGCTTAGTGGAGAGCCCACTCTTAGGGCCCCAGGCCCGGAGCACCGCTGAGGACTACATTTCCCAGAGTGCCCCAGGGCCTGGGAGTGAGCCATTGGAAGATTTAAATAGCCCAGGCCCGAGGCCGCGGCGGCAGCTGCGGCCTCCTCCGCCTCCCCGGTGGCCCCATTGGCGCAGGCGGGCGTCGGTGGGCTCGATTGGCTGCCCAGCTGGCACGGACGCCCCTCGGAGCCCGGCGGCGGCCGGAGGTAAACAGCCATGTGCGGTTCGGCTCTCTATATTTAACAGCCGCCGCGGAGGAGGCAGAGAGGCCGGGAGCGGTGGCGGCTCCGGGGGCAGCGCCTACGTCGGGAAGAAGGCCCTCGCAGCGCGGCTGGCACCGGCCCTCGCGGTGTCGGCGTCGCCATGCCCGCCTCGCAGAGCCGGGCCCGCGCCCGGGACCGCAACAACGTCCTCAATCGGGCCGAGTTCCTGTCCCTGAACCAGCCCCCCAAGGGGGCCCCGGAGCCCCGCAGCTCGGGTAGGAAGGCTTCCGGCCCCTCGGCGCAGCCCCCGCCCCCCGGCGACGGGGCCCGGGAGCGGCGCCAGTCCCAGCAGCTGCCCGAGGAGGACTGCATGCAGCTGAACCCCTCATTCAAGGGCATCGCCTTCAACTCCCTGCTGGCCATCGACATCTGCATGTCCAAGAGGCTGGGGGTGTGTGCCGGCCGGGCCGCGTCCTGGGCGGGCGCCCGCTCTATGGTCAAGCTCATCGGCATCACGGGCCACGGCATCCCCTGGATCGGGGGCACCATCCTCTGCCTGGTGAAGAGCAGCACGCTGGCCGGCCAGGAGGTGCTCATGAACCTGCTTCTGGGTGAGTGTGCCCGCCGTCCTCCACCCACCCGCCCCACCCACCCTGCCAGGACCAGCAGGGCCCTGGGAAACAGACTGGAACAGTCTAATGAGGTTAGGCAAGGGAGGGCGCCCCAGAAACGGGTGAGCTTCCGGCCTGGGGAGGAGAGAGCCGGGGACGTGCAGAGGAGGTCCCTGCAGAGTGGGGCCTGGAGAACGGGGTGCCCCACGGGAACCCCGAGGGGAGGGCCTTGCTCTTGGTTAGTGCTCCACCGCCCCAGGGGCAGCTCAGGGGGTGGGGGCTGTAGCCTCAAGGCAGATGGCTGGGGTCTGGCAGGGCCCTGGGGAGGTCCTGGAGTGGGGCATCTCATTGTGGAACCCCCACCCACAGGTTGGGGTCCTTGAGTTTCTGGGTTGCTCACAGGCAGCACTTGTGAGTGAGTGGCCCCCTGGCCCCTGCCTGGCTCAGGGACCCACAAGCTGCCTGCAGTGCTCCCACAGGGCCTAGGGGTGCAGGGGGCTCAGTCTGGGCTCCCACGTGCTCGTGGCCTCCTGAAATCCTTACCTGCTGCTTCCCTGGGCAAATCACTGGTGTTCGGTTTGTTCTGACAACGTCTTTGCCACCGCGTCTTGCCATTCGGCCTTGCTCTGTGCCAGGTGCCACGTGGGGCTGTGTGGAAGGCAGGCCCCCCTCCAGCTGCCACCCTTCAGGCACCCCCAGGTCCCCAACGTGCCCAGGGAATCTCTGCTTCTACCCTCCGAGCTGGGCCCATGTCCATGCCTCGCCCTTCCCAGCGTGGCTGCCATTTGGAGCACAGGTGGGCGGGAGTCCCAGGGTAAGCAAGCACTGATGAGGGGGCCCAGGCCCTCCAAGGGTGGGGGGTGGACCACTGAGAGCTGTGGTCCCAGAGGAAGTCCTGACACAGAGGGGTACCTCCCTGCTCAGGTTTCAGAGAGTCAAGGTGGACGCACTTGGGCGGTACACAGGGAGGCAAGAGGTGGTTGGTCTGGCACCGTCCACGTTTTCTTGTTCTAATGACTAGATTATCTGTATTACTTGTTACTGACCCCGAATAAGCATTCCCACGTGACTGGCGCTATCTTCACTCCCATTTCACAGATTAGGAAAACTGAGGCTCCTGTAAATGAAGGAGCCAGGCCAAGTCCTCAGAGCCAGAGATTTCCAACAGGTCCGCCTGACGTCCTGGCCCGTGAGCATGGGCCTGGGTGGGAGGGACACAGCCAGGTGGCCAAGACGCCACATGGGGGGCTTCTGGGGGCAGAGCCCTGCTCTCATCACCTTCAGCCTCCCCAGGGCCCACCGCAGCCTCCCACGGAGCAGCGTTGGGGGTTAGGTGGCCCAGCGTCAGGGGACGGGAGTGGAGAGTGTGCTTGGGTCTGCTCCCCGGACACCGTCTGCATGTCCCCTCCCCGGATGACGGTGGCCGGGAAAGATCCAGGACGTGTGCGGTGTCATCGCGGTGGGCCCACTTTCCCGTAAACCACGCCACCACTCCTGAGCCTCACCGCACCCCGTGGGGGAGGAGCCATGATTCCCAGCCACTTGAGGAGGAGCAAACAGAGGCACAGGGAGGTGTGTGGCTGGTGGGGGACAGGCCGGGGTGAGAGCTGGGAGCGACTCTCACTTGTTAGGAGAAGGTTTCTGGCTGTTCCAGCCGCCAGCCGCTGTGGTGCAAAGGTGTTTGCTCGAAGAGCAAGGCTCCAGACACCTCTGTTTTTTTTTTAAGACTTTATTTATTTTTATTTTTAGAAAGAGGGAAAGGAAGGCAGAAAGAGAAGGAGAGAAACATCAATGTGTGATTGCCTCTTGTACGCCCCCTACTGGGGAACCTGGCCCGCAGCCCAGGCACGTGCCCTGGCTGGGAACCGAACCAGCAACCTTTCGGTTCACAGGCTGGCGCTCATTCCTCTGAGCGACACGAGCCAGGACGTTTTAGGTTTTCTAAAACTTCATTTATTGCACTTCATTGTGTACCAAATACTTTGCTGTGAATGTCCCATATTTCACAATTTCAAAATCTTTTTAATGACCATATAAGGTAAATGTGAATACACCCACTTTACAGATGAGTTACATGGGGCTCGGGGTGGGGGTGAAGGGACTTGCGCACTCCACCCCGCTGTACTGGTAGGTCAGGGGCCCAAGCCTGAGTCCTCTAGGCTGCAGACCCCTCGCTGTCCCCCTCGCCGCTGGTCTGCGGGGTCCTGTCATCCTCCAGCCTTTGCGGGCGGGGGCTTGGGGTCCTACAGCTCCAGAGCACAGGCTCCGAGGTCGGACTGGGCTTCGTCCAGGCCCCGGCCTGAACCCAACTTGCTCTGTGACCCTGGTCACAGCAGTCTCTGTCTCTGGGCCTCAGCGTCCTGGTCAGTACATGGGCTGCAGGCTACAGTAGGGACCCAGAGGGCAAAGCACTGGGCATATGGTGGCCACGGCTGTGCCCAGTGGATGGCCGATGCCAGCATTCTGCAGACCACAGACCCCGAGCGGTGAGGGAGCCCTGCCCAGCCTGCTCGCCCACTCCCACACCAGGGATTCAGGGGGACAGTCTCTGAGCTGCAGCAGAGACCCCTACCTGTACAGCTGGGGCCTGGGCTCCCCTCGGGCCCGGGCGACACTCAAGAGCCTTGGGAGATGCAGGCTCCAGCCACGGGGACTGGAAAGGGTCCCAGCTGGGCCCGCTGGAGGTTCTCCGCCCTGCCCCCTGCGCTGCCTGCCCCAGGGCACGCCGCCCACACTGGAAACCTCAAAGCCAGGAAAAGCAGCTGGCAAAAGCTGGGGCTCCAGAGTCAGCGGACCTGGGCGCCAATCCCCGCTCTGCTGTGGGAACTTGGGCAGGTGACTCTGCCTCTCTGAGCCCGTTGTCCTGCTCTGTTAAGTGGGTTGCTGGGGCACCGCCCTGAAGGATTGCACAAGGGGTGCCAGCACATACGAGTGCCAGCTAGCGCCGGTGTAGCAGTGATTGTCACCGTCCTCATCGCCGTCTCCCAGGTCCCCTCCACGCTCTGGGCGTGCGAGGTGACCCCATCCCTCCTTTGTCCCTCCCCTGCAGCACCTGGCTTGACGATCCCACAGGGAGCCAGGGGACAGGTGGCGCAGGCCTGTCCCAGTTCGCCAAGCCCATCCTGGTTTGCTCACGGGCCTGCCCTTGGGGGACAGTGGCCTCTACGTCAGGTTGTCATGGTCTCCAAAACTGTCTTTACTGAGACCTTCCGACTGGGAAAACCGTGCATTCTTTTCCTGTGTCATTGCTCTATCGTGGTGAAGTACATATCAAATGAAATTTGCCACGTTAACCACTTGTGAGCGTGCAGGTCAGCGGTGTTAATTACGTCCTCGTTCGAGTGCTACCGCCACCGCCACCCCCGTGCAGCTCCAGAACTTTCTCATCTCCCAGACCGAACCTGTGTCCCCACGAGTGACTGCTCTAGGGGCTGTGGACCCGCGGAGTGACGCCGTGTTTGTCCTTTTGTGACCAGCTTCTTTCCCGGAGCTTACTGTCCTCCAGGTCCGAGTTTCTTACGTGTCAGCATTTCCTTCCTGGTGTGGCTGAATAATATTCCATCGCGTGGCTGGACCACGTTTTCTTTATCCGCCACCTGTCGGTGGGTGCTTGGGTTGCGTCTGCCGTTTGGCGGTGGTGGCGCGCGCCGGTGCTGAGAGTGGGCGTGACAGCGTCCTTCTGCGTGCCCGCTCTCCCTCCCTGCGGGCGCAGATCCGGGTGGACGCGCCGGGTCGGCTCCGTGCGTGCCCTGTGCAGGGACCCGCCTGTTCTCCATAGCGGCTGCGCCGTCCCGCATCCCCACCGGCCCCGCACAGGGGCTCGTTTCTCCGAGTCCTCGCCCGCTCCTGCTATTTTCCGTGTTTCTGATGCCAGCCCCCCCGATTCGTGTGCACGTGGACTGTGGCTTCTGTCTGCACCTCCTCGGTGAGGCGCAGAATAGGGGGCCTTTCCACTCGGCACCCCGAGGTCAGGGAACGCAGACCTCACCCGGGCAGGTGGCGGGAAGGGCGAGCCTAGGAGTGACCTCCCCAGCAGTCTGGGTCACGGGCCTCTGGATTTCCCTCTGTGCGCGCATGCGTCTCTCGGATGACCCCCCACCCCGCCCAGTGCTGTGCGGCCCAGCTCGGCCTCCTTCTCGTGGCTGTGACGGACCTGCTGGGCCCCGTACCTCCCACCTGGACTCATGGTCTCAGCCCCCACATCCCTTCACATCTGAGGGGTTCAGAGCCCAGAGCCAGCTTCCTCAGCCCTGCAGCAGCACTGCCCGCGCCCTGCCACAGCCGTCTCTCAGCACCCCCTCCCTGCAGCCCCCCCTTCCCACCAGCAACCCCCCCCATAATGTGTTCTGTGAGCTTTCCCAGCCCCGCCCACCAGCCCCTGCTCCCCAGGACAGCTTAGGTGACAACCTCTTCGAAAGTCTTGTGTAGACTGTCCCCAACTGCTGGTATTTAGGCTGGTCCCAACCTTCACGGTCAGGAACACTTACTTCTGTGGAAGATGACACTGCCTCGCTGCAGAGGTGGCACAGCCGTCCTGCCCTCTCCCCAGCTTCACTCGTCATCATCTCAGTGGGGCTCGGCCAGCAGACCGGTCTGTGTCCCCACAGGGGCCCTTTGGCGGCCCCTGACTGGTCAGGGCCCTCCTGCCCATCCTCGCAGCCAGCTGCCCTTGTGGCTCGTACAGAAATGCAGGCAGGAGGCGAGCCACCGGCTGGCCCTGGGTCGCCAGCGGCCCTGCTCCCGGGCTGCCCCCAGCAGCCTGGCACTCAGCCGAGGGGACAAGTGGCTCCATGGACCTTCTGCGCCCGTGGTTTGGACACCCTCGTGGCCCGCATTCCTCGGAGCCAGGGCCAGCGTTCTCGTCGGGGTTCCTCGGGTGAGAAGCCGGAAACCTGCAAAGGTGTGAACTCTGCCGAGAGCCGCTCAGGCCAGGGGACATCAAGACCGACCCTCAGGCCTCCCCGCCCACCCCGGCCAGCCCGTCTGCCGCGTGCACGCTCCCCGGGGTCCGCCTTTCTGGCCCGGTGCTCGGGGTTCTGCAATCACCCTGCTCGAGTGCTGAGACACGCGTCCCGTCGGACTGGCCATCCTGACCGCTCCACAGCACGCAGATCGGCGGCGGCTAGTACGTTCGCTCCCTTGCGCACACAACCGGCGCCTCCGCCGTCTCCAGAACCTCCTCGTCTCCCCCGGCGGAAACTCCGTCCCGCTCCACACGCAGCCCCCAGCCCCTGCCCCAGCCCCTGGGAGCCTCTGAGCTACGTCCCGTCTCTATGAATTCCCGAGTTCCAGGCACCTCCTGTAAGGGGAGCTGTGCAATACCGGTCGTTTGTCAAAATAACTGTTTAAAAAGGTGTACAAGCGTCGTGTGTATTTGTGGGAAGAAACCCAATTAAATGCAGAATGGCGGAAAGACCATGCGCATCACCCCCGGCCTCCCCAGCTGGCGGGCAGCGCGGTGGCCTCTCCCGGGGCGCCTGCCCGAGGGTTTGCTCTGGCCCGTTTCACAGAAATGGCGCCCTACTGTAAGGCCCGCGTGGGCATTGGCTTTTCCCACCGGGCCACCCCCGGCTGTGCTTCAGTGGCTATAAATACACACCGGCTCCACCCTTCACGGTGGCCCGGAGCGCTCCATTGTCTACGCTTGGCCACGGTTTGTCCCATCCGTCTGCCACTCAAGGGCACTGTGCTGGCGCGTGTCCCTCTCTCGGGGAGACAGGGAATGCCACAGCGGCCATCCTTGACCGTGAGGCCCGGTGCGCAGCCCTGACCGCTTCCCAGGACGTGCCTGCCGATGGAAGGGGCCGCCTCCCAAGTCCGAGGCCAGACGCCCTTCAGAAGGTCAACGCGTTCAACCTTCCGAGTGAAGGTTTAAGCACTGCTGGCTGGTCCCCCCACCTTCCCGAGAAGCCAGTGGGGTGGGGGGCTAGAGGCAGGGCCACCCCCCGGGAAAGAAGGGCCAGGACCCCTCCTCCCAGCCCCAGCCAGCGAGAGGCACAGCTCACAAACCTGTGCCCTCCCCAGCCAGCATGGAGCCCCACCTTTGTCTCCTCTCTGGGGACGGGGGTCAGGGGACAGGACTTCAGGGCCTGGGGAAGAGTCGAGCTTCCTGCATGGGGGGGTGGTTCAGGCGTCTCAGACCCCAGTTTAGTGAGAGGGGGAGGAACGGCCCTGCCTCCCAGGCGCCAGTGACAGAGGGGGAGGAGGGCCTCGGAGCAGCCTCTGGGATGGTCCCGTTTTATCAATGAGGGGAGGGAGGCTCCAGCAGAGGGCTGTGCCAAGGTCACGCCGTGTGCGAGCCGGCGACCTTGGAGCCAGCTCAGACTCTGGGTCCCAGCTGCAGTGAGCCGAGGCCCAGGAAGGTTTAGTGACCGGCACGGTCACCCAAGGGGTCGCAGGCCATGGGTGCCAGCCTCTCTCCCGCCCCAGGTCCTCAGCCTCCCCACAAGCGGACCTTCCCTGTGGGGGCCCCGGCTTCCCTCCCAAGCCCTGAGGGAGTGTGGTTGGGAGCTCGACCGGCCGTGAGGGCAGGACTCACGGAGTCCTCAGTGGTGGCGCCGCGGGCTTCTATTTCTGGGCCCCGGATTATTCGCTGACAGGTCAGAATCACAGCACACTGAGGGCTGGCTGCCATGCGAGAGGAGGGCAGGGAGGAGGGGAGCGGGGCCCTGCAGGGTGGAGGGGTGGGGGTGGGCGGGCAGGCCGTCAGCTCTGCTGGAGACCCAGCCTGCGGTCTGAGCGAGTCACCCACTGCCTCTCCTTCCAACCCTCCACACCCACAGCTGCCGTGTGGTGAGGGGGCGGCCCTGCAGGTGCACCCCACCTGGAAAGGGGCTCTTATAACTGTCCTTACTTCCCGTCTCTTCCTCAGCTGTGTGATACCCTGCCACGGTTCACCAGCCCCGGGGCCTGGCCCGCCCCTGACATACCCAAGAACTGGGGATGCCCCAAAACTGAACCAGCTCAGGATGGGCTGGGCCAACTGCACAGCCAGGCTGGCCCCATGGTTCCCCCAGGGACACAGGACAGAGGGACAGAGACCCGTGTGGAGAGCCTGTCACTCAGGGAGGGAACGGCCTCCCTGGGCTGGAGAGGGCTGGCGGGCCCCTCTCGGCCTGGCCTCCCGCCTCAGTTGCTCCGGCTGCTCCCTTAGGCCCAGAGTCCCAGGGGTCAGAGGCAGCCGCCTCCGTCCAGCTCCCAGCTGCCCTGCTGGTCACTCTCTCCCGCTGGAACTGTGACCTCCCACGGGCTCATGGGGCTCCCCTGGGTCAGTGGCATGTGGGCTGGCTGGCCACCAGCCACACACCACCCAGGCCCCCACCTCCCCAGAGCAGGCCTGGGCTCCTGGGAGCAAGTTGCCATGGAAACTCGTGGCAGGCGTGTGTAGGGTGTGGAACAGGTTCCCGCCCTTCCTTAGGCTTCTCCTCTCTGGGCCCTGCAGCCTGCTCCTGCCCTGCTTCCTGCTTCTGCCCCCGTTCCTTGCTGGCCAGGCATGCCCCCGGGCCGTGGGACATTGGCCAGCCCTGCAGCTAGTGAGAAGGGCCAGCCCAGGGGAGAGCAGGGGTTCGAATCCCAAACAAGAGCCCTGTGGCGGGCAGGAACGAGGAATGCTGACCAGCCCTGTGCTGACCAGGTAGCACCATCTTCTTCTGGGTGGTCTGGCCGCTCAGCGCCATGGCCACTGTAGAAGTGAGTCACGGTGCCTCCGACATGACCGCTGAGGGGTTCCGGGGCCGTGTGACATGGCAACTTTCAAATACAGGTCACCGCAGGGCGTGTGGAGAGCATGGTACAGCTTTTACTAACCCTACGCTCTACAGATGGCCAGAAGGGTCTGGGACAGCGGCTGCCTCTGGGTGGCTGGGTCCCAGGTGATGGCAGACCCTTTGTAAATGTTCTGCCCTGCACATCTACCGGGTCACTATTTTCAACAGTTGTTTGTTTTTCATCTGAGCGGGAGGGGTCGGGGGCCAGCGATGCTGGTGTCCCCGCACAGGTTCCAGGAGAGCGCCCAGCGCCAGGCCGCAGCCCAGTCATCTGGTGCTCACCCTCCTCGGCCGTCCCTGGGTGCCGGGCACGTGCGGGGACCAGGTCCCTTTATAGGAAGCAACCAGAACAGGCAAAGCTATAGGGACAGAACGCAGATCGGGGGTTGGCGGGGGTTGGGGGGAGGGGTGGAGGCGTGACTGCTTCATGGGTGCAGGGTTTCACTTTGGGGCGATGAAGTGTTTTGGAACTGGACAGAGGTGGTGGTTGCACCCCGTGGAGGAGGTGTTAAACGCCACTGAAGTGCGGGCTGAAAAGCGGTTCGTTGTACCTTACGTGGCTTTCACCTCCACCTTAGACAAATGCGGACGGTAATGCGCAGTTCTCAGGATTGGCGGGGGTTTCGGTGAGTCCCTTTGAGAAAGGAAACCCGCAGCCCAGGGTCCCATTTGTGAGAACTCAGGTCGTCCGCGGTGCCCTCTGGGCCCTGATGCCCAATCACCCACTGTCCCCTTCCGCCGCTTCACTGAACCGCTCCCAGCTGCAAGCAGATGGGCCCTGCCCCTCACGAGCGCCCCCTGCAGGCGGGAGAGCGATGAGAGAAACGCATGAGAAACCGGGGCCCTGTCGGGTGGGGAGAAAGGCGTAACGAGAACTAAAGCAGGGACCCGGATAGAGGGCGGTGGGCCTTTTGTGAACAGGCAGTCAGGGCAGGCATCTCTGCCGGAAAGAGTGAGGGTGCGTGCCGTGTGCATGTGCCATGGAAGGGCATTCCAGGAGGAGGGAACAGCACAGGCGGAGGCCCAGAGGCAGGAGTGCAGAAGACGGGGCGGGAGGCGGGGCGGGAGGGGAGAGGGAGGAAGGCGGCACTGACAGCCCCGCCCCCCCCGCCCCTCTGTCCCGCCCACAGCCCTGCTCCTGGACATCATGACCGTGGCCGGCGTGCAGAAGCTCATCAAGCGGCGTGGCCCCTTTGAGACGAGCCCCAGCCTCCTGGACTACCTCACCATGGACGTGTACGCCTTCCCCGCCGGGCACGCCAGCCGCGCGGCCATGGTGTCCAAGTTCTTCCTCAGCCACCTGGTGCTGGCGGTGCCCCTGCGCATCCTGCTGGTGCTCTGGGCCTTCTGCGTGGGCCTGTCACGCGTGATGATCGGGCGCCACCACATCACGGACGTCATCTCGGGCTTCGTCATCGGCTACCTTCAGTTCCGCCTGGTGGAGCTGGTCTGGATGTCCTCCAACACCTGCCAGATGCTCATCTCCGCCTGGTGAGCCCATGCCCGCGGCTTGCGGCTTGCGGCGGTGGCGGCGGCGGCGGCGGCCGCCGGAGAGAGCTGGCAGGAAGTGGGCAGGAAGCGGCAAGGCCAGCAGGGACGGGCGGACTGCGCAGCCCCACCTCCTCTTCTCCCTCCTGGCCGGACGCTGGTGACCTCAGGCGGGCCCAGCTGGTGACCGGTGGGCATGTCTGGAAGCACCGGGGCCCCTGCTCTTTAGCTGGGGCTCCAAGTCCCTCTCCAGGCAGCCCCGAGTCCTGCGTGGGGACACCTCTGCTTCGCTTCTGCAGTGGAGGTAGCCGGCGAGAACCCAGCCGGCAGGAGAGGGGCGGAGTCTCATTCTTGCATCATCACATGACTGTTGAGTTCTTGGCCACGCCCACCAGGCCACAGTTCGAGGCCCCGCAAAGTTCCCCCGACCTACCACCCAGCACGGGTGCCATGCAGGGCCATTGATAGCTTAGGGCAGCCCTTTGCACAGGGTGCCCCACGGGACAGCGGCTTGGGGAGGAAAAGGGTTTTGTGGTCAACTAAATTTGGGGAAAGCTGCACCCTCTGCCTCGTGTCGGCTGTCCGCCAGGGTGGCTACTGTCGCAAAGCCTCCGCCAGGCCCTGCAGAGCAGCCACCTGTCCAAGTGGGAGGCGCCCCACGTTTCCTGAGCTTATTTGACCACAGGGCCCTTTTCTCCTGGGACAGCTGCCGACTCCTAAGGGGCCGCTGTCTCCTCCAGCCCATGTGGGGAGACGCTGCCCCGCAGCGGAGGGGCCTGAGGTGCGAGCTGGCCTCTCCCAGCGCTGAGCAGGGCCACAGCCGGTGGGAAGCCCACGGCCTGTGGGCGTCGGCGCCACTTTGGCCCCCAGGGGCCGGACTCCGTGTGACCTAATAGGTCGTTTCCAAGTCAGCCGTTATGGAGGTGCATTTCATGTGACAATACAGATGATATGCAAGCAGACCTTGGCCTGTGTGGTTTTCCTTTGCGAGTGGGGAGCTTCCTGGCTGGGGAATACCTGTCAGCTGGGGCGGGGGAGGGGGTTGAGGGTGGAGTTTCTGTTCACACGGGGAAGCTGATTTCTTCACTCCCAGACGGGCCATGGGGCCAGGTGGTCAGAGGACAGTGGGCTCCTGGACTTTCCCAGGGTGGTCGGTCTCTTCTCCCTGAGGCCCCTGGGTGTGGCACCCCAGGCCCCCAGGTGCACTGGCCCCTCTGCCCAGCTCCCACTGAGATGCTGCCGGACTTCCCCCCTGGGGTGGAAGACTTCTCCCTCCAGTCTCCCAACTCTGCACTGCTCCCCACCCACGTGGTCCCTGCCCCGGGAGTTGGGGGTGGGGAGTTGCAATGAGATATATACTGGGATCTTCCCCCAGCCACGGGTGCCAGGGCAGGGGTCCTGGGGAGGGGAGAGGCAGGAGACTGGTGGGGTGGGCCAGGAAGGAGGGGGACAGGGTCCTGGGCAGAGGGAGGAGAGGGGCGGTGGCCAGGAGGCAAAGGGGGCCGTGGCTGTCACAGATAAGCAGGGCAGTCCCAGCCGCTGCACCCCAAGTGTGGAGTGGGGTGGTCAACATGCCCACGGCATCCTTGGGAAAACAGGCCCCGAGAGAAGAGGTGACTTGCCAGGGTTGTCCTGCAGAAGGCAGCGCAGCAGAATGGGGGTCAGTCTGCCCGTGTGCCCTCGGCCCATACTCCCCCCGCTCCAGCTTCCCGCACGGGCCTGTGCATGGTCGTCTGGAGAGGTGGGGGGCAAGAGGAGGATTTGTGCTGCACATTGGTGCCGACGCCCAGGGCTTGGTTGCCACGGAGGCCGGAACGAAGAACCACAAGCCAGCAGCTTTGAACAACAGGAATGTCTCCTCTCGCAGTCTGGTGTTTGCAGCCCGGAATCCAGGCGGCGGCAGGGCAGGGCGTCACTGCCTGACATCTGGGTGGGTCCTTCCCTGGCTCTCCCAGCTTCTGCTGGTGGACAGCCCTGGGCGTGTCCTGGCGGCGGTGGCGTCACTGCAGCCTCCACCCTTGTCCTCACAGGCCTCACAGGGCCTTCTTCCCCGGTCTGGGTCGGCCTCCCCTTCTGAGGACAGCGGCCGAGTTGGGCTGGGGTCCTCCCCCTCCAGGCCGCCCTCGCCGTAACTTCCATCTGAATCACACTGGCGAAGACCCTCTTTCCGAATCAGGCCACGTTCATGGGTACTGGGAGTTCTGCCTGCAACCACCCGCTGGGGACACATCCACCCGCAACACACAGGATCCTTCGGGGGAGAAAACAGCTTCCCCGAGGGGACTGGGCAGGACCCAGGAGCCCAGCTGATGGAGGGTAGTCAGGTGACGCCCCCCCCGAGCGCGGAGCCCCCGAAGGCCCAGCCTGCAGGCCTGCCCGCCTTCCCTCGAGGCTGCAGAGACCCCGCATCCTCCCGGGTCACGGTGTCCCCAGGGCTGGTGCCTCGCTGACAGGCCCCAGGCCCCCTGGTCTCCCTCCCAAGCCCCCCCACCCCGTTTCTCTCTGAGCCCCCAGGGTGCCCGCCCAGCTGGGGGTACAGGAAGTGCCCACGTTGTCTTTGCCCTGAGGGAGCTCAAGCCACCAGGGTTAAAAGCCGCAGCCCCCCATCTCGAGAGCGTTGGCTGGTTCCGGAGTCTCTGAGACACACTCTGCAAGTTCCCGCGGGGCTCCCGAGCTGCCTGCGAGCAGCGGACGGGGGAGGGTGCCTGCCTCCTCTCCTCGTGCACAGCGCCTCCTGCCCCCTGCTCGCGGGGGGCCGGCTCGCAGAAGGATTACGAAAGAAAGAACGAGCTGCGTGGGCCACCCCCTCCCGCCCCGCCCCGCCCCAGAGAAGCCCCCTGGCCTCCCCCCCCCTCAGCACTCCTGGAGGGGGCGGGGTGCAGAGGGTCTCCGAGGGCAGGTGTCAGCGGGGGAGGAGGCCGGAGGCAGGCACCTGCCCGTGTCATGGCGGCCCAGGGCTGGCTTCCCAGCCTCCCTCCCGACCGTGAGGGTTAGGTGGGGGGTCCTTTCCTGGGCCCTCATGTCCCACCTCCCCAACGGTCTTTCCCACCCCCCAGGGAGGGAGGGAGGAAGGAGGGAGGAGGGAGGAGGCAGGAAGGACTGAGGCTGAATCCTCCCCGGAACCTTAGGCCTCACTCATGGTCCCGGCCCGCCTGTCTCAAGGTCAGAGTGTGTCTTCAGCACAGCCCCAGGGCCAAGTGCCCAACCTGCCAAGGCCCGAAGTCCGGGAGGGGGAGGGAGGCCGGAAGCAAAGCCCAGGAGGTGTCGGTGGGGCCGTGAGCCAGACCTCCTGGGTGGGCAGCTGCGGCCTGGAAACTCTGCCCGCCCCGGATAGTGGGGGCTGGTAGACCCGGCCGGGCTGCAGGTAGATCAAAGGTGACAGTGACAGTGACAGTGCCCACGGCCCGCAGATGGGGAGGAGCTGAGGACGATGGGTGCCCTGGGGTGGACACAACAGCGGCCGCTGAAGACGCCCACACGCTGAGCCCCGGACCCCGTGACACCGTCACACTCGGTGGCATTGGGGAGTGGCAGAGAGAGTCACGGGTGCTCATCAGTGGGCTGTGACACAGGGGGCTGAGCCCAGGAGGTCCAGGTGGGCCCAATGCAATCACTTAGAAGGGGGAAAGGGCAGAGGAAGAGAGCACGGAATGATGCCGTGTGGGAGCTCCCTCCGCACCCCACGGGCGGTGGAGACGAAGGAAGGGGCCATAAGCCGAGGGTTGCAGGCGGCCACCCCTCCCCCCACACCCCGCTGGGCAAGGCCGGAGCCGCTTCTCCCCTGGAGACTCCACAGGAACCTGCGCTGCAGGACTCTGAATCCTAGCCCCGTGAGACCGCTGTGGACTCCGGGGCCTGGATGGCAGGTAAGATGGTAAAAACTGGTGTTGTTTTAAGCCACTGCACGCGTGGCGATTGGTTACGGTGACGATCAGACACTAGCTCGCTCAGGGGCCCTGTACCCACCGCCTTGCCCCACCCCGCCCGCTGCGGTGGCCTCGAGCCCCACGGCCCTTTGTCCTGAACACACCCCAGCCATCCAGCCCGAGGGTTGGATGGCTGGGGTGTGTCAAGCCGTCCCACCCAGCAGGCCCTTTGCACAAACAGGGACACGAGCCCAGAGAGGGTGTTGGGGTCACGCCAGGCGTCCCAGGCACCATGGGGCCTCCCCGAACTGCCCCCCACAGGCTCCCCAGCTCAGGCCCTGGCTGGGCAAAGGGCAGAGCGGCAGGGGGCATGGACGGACCCCTCCCGTCCTGCATGCTGTGGGCTGTCACGTTCCCCTCCCCCTGCTGCTCAGAGCCTTTTCTCAAGGGGGGGGCGGCGGCTAGTGAGGTCCCCCCACCTGGATCTCCACAGTGTCTCCGTGGGCCTTCAGTAAAGTTTGTCGCAATAGAGAGCAGGAGGCTGGGGTTCTGGTGACGGTGGGCTGGGCGTGGGAGAAGCCCCCTCCCAGAACACACCAGCCTGAGCGTTATGGGTAAATCGAGTCTCCCTCCCCAGACTCGCGTGTTGAAGCCCTAACCCGCAGGGCCACGAAATGTGATCGCATTTGCAACTCAGCCTTTAAAGAGGTGATTAAGTGAAAACGAGGTCATTGGGGTGGGCCCCGATCCAGCAGGACAGGTGTCCTCCCAAGGAGAGGACATTGGACACAGACGCGCGCACAGGGAGGGCCGAGGGCGGGTGCAGGGAGAAGTCCGTCTGCAGGCCGAGGACTCCCAGCCCCCAGGACGGTGGGACGGGTCTCGCAGGACTCGGGAGCTGTGCCCCGGCAGCCCCGGGAATCCAGTGGGTCTGTCAGGCCGGCCGGCTGTCGGCTGGTACACGGGAAGAGCGAGGCTCAGGGAAGATGGGGACACACACCCGGTGACTTTGGGGGCCCCTCTGGGGCAGCATGCTGCTGCACCGGCCAGGCTGCTGCAGGGCAGCGTCGGGGGAGCACCATGCAAGGAGCTCCGGAGGTGCCGAGTCCCCACAGACACCGTCTCGGGGCCTGAGCTCCGGCGGGGGAAGCCACGTCCCAGCCCAGGCGGTCTGTTCTGTGCAGTCTTCCAGTCCCCAGCCCCTTCCCTGCCTGGGGAGAACTCCGGAAGGGGCAGGGGAAGGGGACAGCAGGAGCTGAAAAGTGCACCAAGTGCCGGATCGGCTGCCATCTGGCTCCAGGGAAGGACCAAACATCTGGCCCGCGGGCTGGCCGAGCGTTTACGTAACACACGTGTGAGCACACGCGGTCGGCGTGGGCAGGCAGGGCCGGTGCCTTGCTGCACTCCAGCTGCCTCTCCCGACGTGGGGGAGGGTCGAGACGATGCTGGGCCACGGCGCCCGGTTCGAGGTCTGAGCTCCTGCACACACCCGGCCTCGATTTCCCCACAAGTGAGTGTGCCCACGGGAGAGCTCAGCTTCCCCCCAGCGTTAAGATTCTGTAACATGCACATAACACGTGCATGCACAGATGCTTCACGTGGTTTGGTACAAATACATGTAGATGCACACGTGTTCATGTTCACGCTCCGGCACCTTTATCCACACACCTGCACGTACAGTGGTACCAAAATGGTGCTCACACCTGCAGCGGAACCATTCCCCTTGCATCCGGCCAACACGCAGCCAGGTGTGTGTGCACACACGTGTATGCACACACACATGTGCTCTTACACAAGCGCACGCACACACACACTTGCGTGCGACTGCATAGATCAGGCTTGCCAGGTTGAGCAAGTAACAGCACAGGACACAGTATTTGGGGCAAATGCTAAAAACCGTTTGTTTACCTAGACTTGAAATTTAGGAGTGTCCCGGGTTTTAGCTGGCAGCACTAATGAGCCTGCACGTCAGTGCGCTCACACACACTCAGGAAGCCCTCGGGGTCCTGGCCCAGCCCGGACATGCAGCCCCCTGGGAGGCTCCCCAAGGCCTCCCCTCCGTCTGGCAATCAGGCGGACTCCGGTCCCCCGGCAAC